CAAAGGCTGGGAAGAGGCCGGGCGCCCGCGCGGCGCGTCTCAGACAAACAGAGCAGTTCCACTGGCAGATGATTCCCCTGTGCTCATGATTTCTATTTTCCAGCCCCTTCATCTGCCTTCACCGAGTTAACTGGCACATGAGTGTGGGATTGAGAGTCGGCCCCAACACGCCTTTGCAGGGACCATCTCCCCCAGTTAGGTGGTGGGGCTCGCACTGACGGAGCAGAGCTCGTTGCACGTTCCCACGACTGCTTCCAAAGGTGCAGGGTCAGCGCCCTCAGCACGGGGCCCGTCACCCGGAGGGTGGCCAGCGCATGGTGGCCCCAGCGCGGCCACGGCCCCTCGGACACGTCTGCTCATGGGGTGAGCGCTGCTAGAGCGAGATCAACTGCATCAGCCTTTTTCACTGGAGATAGAGAGTGTCCCCAGGCAGCGTGGCCAAAGGTGGTGTTCTTTATCTGTGCCTCGTGCTCCCCAGATACTAAATATCAAGATGTGCCTTGAAACTCTCCTGTTATTAAATATTCCTCTGAGATTAGAGCAGTGCTTCCTTCTATCTAGCCTCTTCCCTCCCAGTGGAGCCGATGAGCACGATAACTTATCGGGACCTTCCCCTGTGCTGTTACCAATGGCACGGGGACTTACTGACCCACCTCAGAACAACACGCTGAATATTTAGGAATTGCCCTGAGCTTAGTAAGCGACAACATCTTTATCATAGGAGCCCTTTAAACCCTCGGTGCCTGCCAGGCCCCTCTGTCCTTGCTGAAAGGACAATATCGGACCCAGGGCAGCAAATGCTGATAACAAAACAGTTCCCTGAGCGAACTGCGGTGCCGGGGCGGCAGAGCGGGCTGCCCGGCCAGCGGCTCCTCTCCCGGTGCTCTCCAGACACGCGGCAGCTACTGGAAGGGACAGACGGGACTCCAACGGAATGACCGTTCTGCTCCAGCCTGGCCAAACCCAGGGTGCACCGGTCACACCAGCAGCCTCTGGCATCACAGCACCCATCCCAGCCCCACAGAGCCCCACAGCACCCAGCACAGCCCCAGCTCCCAGCGAAGGCATTTCCTCTTGGGCTGCCGTCAGACCAACACCCACCCCATGCCCCCCCTTAGCAGGAGGAGGGGTGGGCTCGGGGCTCAGCGTGGGCTCCATCCCACTGCAGCTTGGGCTCATCTTAGCCTGCAGCAAAAGCGCCGAAGGCTGCGCTCCTGGCTCGTGTCGGCCGTGAGGTCCCTGGTGGGATTGCTCGAACCTCTTGCAGTGTCTTTGCACGAATATCCCATGTCACACCTGGGAAACACAACAAGCACGGGGGAAGAGGAGACTCAGATGTCGATGCACCTTGAGGAATCGGTCCAGATGGGAACACTGGGAATGCTCAGGTCTACAAAGAGACTGTCACGGGCCAGGAGAGCTGAACCATGGCACACGCGTGAGACTCATCTGCCCAGCTCACCCCTGGGGGAGAAACACCAAGGAACGAGCCCAGAGAGGGCTGCGGAAACCAGCGGAGACGGCTCTGCTCCGCGAGGGAGGGGGACGGCTGGGCAGTTAGGAAGCGAAGCACCAAGGAATAGATCTGGAAGCCAAGCAGAGGGAGATCAGCAAAGACACAAAGGTTGAGAGTTCAGACCCCGGGGGAACTCAGGCAACCTCTGTTACCCGAGTCTACAAAAGCCTTAAAGTCAGTTTTGCTGATAAATGAGTCGTCAGCAATGATTAAACCCCAGAGAAGTCATAAAAAAAAAGCAGATATTGATAAAATGGGATGCTGATATGGCGAAGCTCAGCAGCGCACGAGCGGATGAGTGTCACCCGTGGCGAGCAGCAGAGCCTGAGCAGCGGGCGCTGGGCTCGTGGGACAAGCGGGCTTCAGAGCCCCACTCGCCCTCTGGAGCATCTCTGGGGGCTGCTGGCACAGCCAGGATCCAGGAAGGAGCCTCCTTCCCCAGCATGTACCTCCACAAAGCCACACTCGAGGACCTCGGGCAAATCCGAGCTCCTTTCTGAGGCTCTGAGCACCTCTCCCGAGGCAGACGAGCGGCCCTGGGAGGGGGTGAGCTGCCTTTTGGCGGTGAACCACTGACCAAAGAGCAGAGCACCCAAAGCGAGGAGCGCGGAGGGGACAGACTGCAGGGAGCCAGCACGGGGTGAAGGACGGCGGCGGGGCACGGGGCAGCGGGGAGGCAGGTTTCGCACAGGCCCCCTGCAGAAGGTGGTCTCCTGCCACACGAGCTGTTCTTCCCGTTCCTGAGCGCTAAAATTGCACCCAACGCCACTGATGGAGGGGGCCATTTGGTGTTTGACCCTGAAGGAAATCTAAGCTAATCTACTTTAATCAGACAAAAAACAGAGTGGCTCATTCTGATACTGGCTGAAGCCGTGCACCTGATCAGCAACCGCGAGATTAGATAACACCTGAACTTAGTCCCATCCCGCAGGTATTAATGTGAGCTCTCCGCATGTCTGGGCTACTCCAGTTCAAGGGCATGAAGATGCTCACTTCACTGGGCTTCGTATTCGCTGCCGTCTCTTTAGCAAGCTGTGTCCCCGTGCAGCAGGTGTCCAGCCGCAGCAAAGTCCTCCTGGTGTCCTTCGATGGCTTTCGGTGGAACTACGACCAGGACGTGGACACCCCCAACCTCGACGCTATGGCTGCGGAGGGGGTGAAGGCGCGGTACATGACTCCTGCCTTTATCACCATCACCAGCCCGTGCCACTTCACGCTGCTGACCGGTGAGTGCCCACCGGCCGCGAGCCAGGCGGAGCGCGCGGGGCGCAGGCTGGGGACGGGCTAATTCAGGGCTTGTGCATCAGTGAAGGAACCAAAGTCAAGCGGCCGTCCAGCCTCAGCAGCACGCAAGGCTTTAGAATAGCCGCATTTTGGAAATAGTTGCAGGAAGTGGTAGAGCTGAGCCCGCGTTTGTCAAAGGTAAATAGCACCCGACATGGCAGGAATAACGCAGCCGCCACCCAGACCGCGGGAGGAATCGCGCAGAGGGCACTCCGACAGGGCTCGTCCCCAACTTCCGCTTTACTAACAGATCAGATCGACTCTTGTGTGTGTAGTTACTCCTCATGCACGCGGTCTGCAGCTCGAGCTGGGTGTCTGCTGGCTGTCGCTGCATTTGTAGTCTCTACAGGTGGCTCGATTTCCCAACGGCACTTCTGCTCATCCACTCCTCTTGGCGGAGGCCGGGGTCTCCTCTTCTCCTGTTCGCTCTCGCCGCCTCCAGGCACTTTTTGTTGGTGTCTTGAGACATTTCCTTCTCTTTTGTTACAGGATAGCCTGCAACAGTTAGAGTTTACTTACACTTCCCTATCTACTGTAGTCGTAAAACAAAGATTAAAGTACAGTTCATGCGGCCTAAGGCTTCATTTACTTTAGTGACTCTGCCACAAATTAGTATCTCACTCTGAAGTCCTCCCTTTGTTTTTATTAGCACACCTGTATTATTTATATTGCACAGGTGCCGAATACCGATAGCCTCTAATCTGTGTACGTATTCGAGTATAACACAACATTGCAAATACGCAAATATAATTAAAAAGGCACAAACGCAAAATAATATTCCATACAATATTCTCCTAATGTAGATTTCCCCGTCAGCGAGAGACAAGGCAATAGCTGCAGAAAGGATAGAACTGAACCTGTATTTATCAAAGGCAAATAGCACCAGACCAACCCGATAGCCTCCTTTGATAAGATAAATGATTTTTTAGACAAGGGAGATGCACTAAATTTAATCTTTCTGGACTTCAGTAATGTACTTGATACAGCGCCACTCGGGAAATCATTAGTTAAGATGGAGAAGATGAAGATTAGTACAAAATCTGTAATGCGGGGAAGTAACGGGCTACAGGGGAGAGGGCAGCAGGTGATGCTGAGAGGAGATTGTCAAGCTGGAGGGAGGGCAACAGGGGAATTCCTGAAGAATCGATTTTGGAGCCAATCTTATTTAAGATTTTAATTAATAACCTCGGCATAAAAGAGTGGAACATGCTAATGAAATCTGCTGACGAGAGAAGGCAGGGAGGCATTGTCAATACAAGGGAGGATGGGGATATCGTGCAGAAGTAACTGCCCAGTCTTCAGGACCAGAATGAAGAAAATAGCACAAGTCTCTCATTTCTAATGGGAATTTCTGCTGCTTGCCGACCTCAGGGGTTGTGAACAACAGAGAAAGCCAAACACCAAAGCGATCAGTTAATGGGGGATAACGGTGACCCCCGGCTGCGCCGAGAAGGGCAGGAGGAATTGCACCTCCGGGGATGAGGGTGCCCCGGCTCGGGGTCCCGGTGAGGAGCAGGCATCCCCCCAGCATCTCATTCCCTGCCCCGGGACCCCCACTTCGCGCCGGCAGGGGCGGGAAGGGGCAAAGCAGAGGCAAAGGGAGAGCCGGGACGGGGTGCGAAGGCAGAAGCTCCATTGCCCAGCGCGGGGGCGAGACCCCCCCCGCCGCAGCCCGGCTCACCCCCGCCGCCTCCCTCTCTCCTGACAGGGAGATACCTGGAGAACCACGGGGTGATCCACAACATGTGGTTCAACACCGGCCGCTTCCCGGGCACAGCCCCGGCATAGACGGCTCCCGCCTGCGATCGTGTAGGAAAAGCTACGGGCAAGCCACGATCTCTAGTGGCCATGAGCTAACATCCTCGCTGCAAACGACAGGCTAATTAGCCCAGCAAAAAAAAAAAAAAAGAAATCCCCAGACGCCGGCAGGAATAATTATGATCATTCTATTAAAAATAGCAAAAAATAATAGATGCATTTCAGCTTTATTAAGGCGGTAATAAAGCAGGTTATCCTCTTCCTGTTTAAAGAAACCTCGGCCAGGTCGTTCGGGAGCATCACAAGCCCAGGGGTTTCATACGCTCCACGGCACAAACCTCAGTTCTGCAGCCTCACCCCGGACCTTCTGGGTGGCCGCGTCAGGGGCCGGTTCCCTCTTCACTGGGGACCACAGCAAGGCTTTCCTAGACCCCAGTAGGCTTTGGATCTGGCTTTGAGACAGCAGCTGAGGCCTGGCCCAAGGCACCGTGCCTTTGCCTGTATTTACCTGCCAAATTGGCCCCATTGACTTCAGGGTGAGTGCTTATATGACTGGAGTAAAACACTCCTGATGTCTTGATGGCCAAGAGCCACAGGGTCCATGCGAGGTACGAACGGGTCACTGTTTCCAAAGTTGTAACTGTTGTTACTAACGCAGTGAGAAAACCAACGTGCAGGAGTTCTGGGAAGGGCAGTGCTTTCAATTAATCACTTTTAATTGGCAAAGAGCAAGAAAACCTCATTAGAGGCAGAGGTAGACTTTAGGGGGCTGGATGAACTAACCGCATTAGTAGGTGGTTGCACCGACAGATGGAGAGATGCTGCAGAGCGAGTTCAGGTGAGTTTATGCAATGTCTCCACTAACAGGGTTTAAAGACGGGCTCTATCCATTTCCCTGGAGGGAAAGCAAAGTACCAAGGGGAAGAAGTGAGTATGAAGCTGGTGGAGCCCGCCGTGTTCAACTACAGCAATGAAACCAACTGGAGACTAAACATCGACACAGCCATGGAATGGTTCACGGTGAAGAATCTCGACTTCATCGCCCTCTACTTCGGTGAGCCGGACTCAGCAGGACACAAGTACGGCCCTGAATCCATGCAGAGGAAAAACATGATCAAGCAGGTGGACAGAACCATCGGTTACTTGAGGCAGCGTATCCGGGAAAGTGGTCTGGAATCAAACCTCAACCTCATCATCACGTCTGACCACGGCATGGAGACTGTCCTAAAGACCAACGAGATTCACATCGGGGCAATAAATAACTTCACGTTCAAAGATATCCAGTTCGAACTCTTAGATTACGGACCAAATGGACTACTGGTGCCAAAAGAAGGAAAATTAGACCATGTGTATTCAGTTCTGAAAAACGCCCACCCAAAATTACATGTGTACAAGAAAGAAGAGTTTCCGAAGAGATTCCACTACGCCAACCATCCCCGGATCACCCCGCTCCTGTTGTACGGCGATCCAGGATACGTCATCCATGGGGTAAGATGTATGCGCAGACATATCTTACTGTCTTTTGGGGATCTGCCTCTCTCCTCCTCCTGTCCCATGGCACCCCAGTTCTTACCCAGCTTTACACCTTCATGTTGATTGGGCTCCCTACAAGCAAATGGAAATTCCAGCTCTTTGTGTAAAGGCCTTCTCTGCTGTTCAGAACATAAAAGGTCCACAAGTCTTGGAGCAGGACTTGCATGAACACAGAATATCAGTTGCAGGATCCTCTCCAAGCCTGGCATTAAGGGAGGGCCCAAAGTCAAGGCCAGCAGGCAGCTTCCCATTGTGAAGCTCCTTGATACAACAAAATTTGGATGTGCTGATGTTTAAGGAGGGAATTTGCAAAGTGTAAGTGCTTGAGAGCTGTGTCCAGGCAGCACCCTCCACTTCTGCAAAGTTTAACATTATTAGAGCAACTTCAAAAACCCAAAGAAACCAAACAGACTTAAATCCTGTGGCTGCAGAACATGGCATGCGAGACCCACATGCAGGAGAGGTGGAGGCATCCAGCAGTGCTGCTCCTTCGGTCCCTGCCGCCTCCTGGGGTCGTGCTGGGAGGGGCTGAAGGGTTTGTGCACTCACATCCTCTCTCGCCGTTTCAGAGATACAAGGTCCAGTTCAATAAAGGGGAACACGGTTTTGACAACGAGGCCATGAACATGAAAACCATCTTCCGCGCTGTGGGACCGGCCTTCAAGCAGGGGCTGGTGGTTGAGCCCTTCGAAAGCGTCAATGTCTATGCCCTCCTCTGCGAGCTGCTGGGCATCACCCCTGAGCGCCACGATGGCTCCCTGGAGACCATGAAGCCCATGCTGCGTGAGTCATGGGGTCATAGCACGGTTTGGGTTGGAAGGGACCTTGAAGATCATCCAGTGCCACCCCCTGCCCTGGGCAGGGACACCTCCCCCCAGCCCAGGTTGCTCCAAGCCCAGTCCAACCTGGCCTTGAACACCTCCAGGGATGGGGCAGCCACAGCTTCTCGGGGCAACCTGCCCCAGGGGATCACCGCCCGCACAGGAGAGGATTTCTTCCTCATATCTCATCTCAATCTCCCCTCTTCCAGTTTGAAGCCATTCCCCCTCATCCTATCACTCCATGCCCTTGTCAAAACTCCCTCCCCAGCTCTCCTGGAGCCCCTTTAGGCACTGGAAGGGGCTCTGAGCTCTCCCCTTTTTGGCCTTCTCTTCTC